TCGATGTCCTCGTTGTTGTCGCACTGGTCCCCCACGAGGTCGTTGTCCCCGTCCGTCTGCGGCGGGAGGGAGGCACTCAGGACGCTGACGGTGGGCCGTGGACGCGCACTGCGCGGCCAGGCGTCGGCGGGGACCGGGAGTGGGCAGGACACCGGGAAGGGCGCCGCCGCTCATCCTCACGTCTTTTCACACCGTCCGCCACGTGCTCCACGGCCGCGTCCCTGCCTCCCGCCCTCGCCTCCCACAGGCAACCCGGCGGGGAAGCCGGCCGTCTGCTGCGGACGCGGACAGAGTCGCGAGACCCGCCCGGCGCCCGGGACTCAGACCGGCGCCGGGGTCTGAGCGCAGCCACTGTTTTCCGCGGAAACGCCTGGAAACTCCGGCCGCCGAGCCGGGCGCGCAGCCGCAGGACGCAGAGGCGGGCTCACCTGGTCGGGGTTGTGCACCAGCGGGCAGTTGTCGCAGTGGTCCCCCACGCCGTCGCCGTCCGTGTCCCTCTGGTCCGTGTTGTAGACGTAGGGGCAGTTGTCCCGCTCATTGAAGACGTCTGTGGGTGGCCGGGGAAAGAGGGGCGCTGAGCCAGGAGGGAGCCCCACGCTCTCCCACCCACCCACAGCTCGCGGCCAATCACAGTGCACGGATGTGACCTTAAAAACTAAGAATGTGGTGAAGCGTGAAGACGATCGGACCTTACCCTTCCGCGAGTCCTTTGTCTGTCGTCGCGTCGGCTCTGTGGTTCCCTGTCGGTCATGGCCTAGGGTCGGCCGCGGGGCACCGTGCATTTGGGGCACCCGTCTCTGCCCCCAGCCGCGGAGGCCCCGCGCCCTTCGGTGCTTTCTGTGCGCATTTCCTCCAATGCCACCCTTCGCCCCAAACTCGGAGAAGCGGTGCCCGTCACGCTGCCTCTCCGAGCCGCAGGTCTGTCCCAGCCTCTGCAGGGACACTGCCTCGTGCTCCGGTCTTCCTCGTGCCCTCACGGGCCCGTCCGTCAGTCGGTGGACACTGCAGCCCCACTGGGGACCGCGACACCGCTCCTGCCGCGGCACTGTGCCCGGGGGTGCCGGTGGCCTTGGCGAACGAGCCCCTGTGGCTCACAGTGTCACCGTCTCTGCCGGGTCCTTCTTGGGGTGTCTGGGACCAGGGCACATTCCACACGTCCAGGCTCCAGCCCACACCCTTAGTTTTTGGGGACCTTCCTCTCGCCCCTGAACCGAGTGTGACCCCCCACGCCCCAGCCTCCACTGGCCGGGGCAGGGCCGTGTCCTGCCAGGTGACACTCTGCTCTGTCACCGAGGCTTGTCGCTGATGGCGTTATTTAGGCCACCGCTAACGCGAGCTTCCTCGTAACTCCAGTATCCAGTTCTACGTTCAGATTTCTCCAAATAAGATACTCTCACCCAACACCGTCTGGTCCGCGGCCACTGCTGTTTTCCTACCAGTGCGCGTAGGTGGCGAGCCCATAGCTGGAGCCGGGAGCCCCGGGCGCTCAGCGCGGGTTTCCTGGCCAGACGCTGGGGGGGGGCCACTGGTCTGGCCAATCGGACGTCCCCCCAGGAGGGCGCCTGTGACGGCCGCTTGCTGCGGGGCCTACCTGAGTCTCCAGGGGCCGGTTCTATTTCATCTCAGGGAACCTGCATTTTGATGGGAAATATGTCATTTATGCATCCACGGTCCGATCGTCTTCACGCTTCACCACATTCTTAGTTTTTAAGGTCACATCCGTGCACTGTGATTGGCCGCGAGCTGTGGGTGGGTGGGAGAGCGTGGGGCTCCCTCCTGGCTCAGCGCCCCTCTT